TAAGGCAGACTCTTTCATAAGGATAGGGTGAGCAATGGTTCCGCCAGCCCAAGTTAGTCGGGACTTGGAGATGGCTGCTGGATCAGGAATACAATGCGGGGATAGAAGGAATATGTAGATGTGAGAAAGGGAATCCTCACACTGAGACCAAGTAATGGAAGAATAGGGTCAGTGGGGAGAGGAAGTGCTTAGGGAAGAAAGGGAAACAGCCATGGGAGTGGGCTCCACAGAGAAAACATAAGGATGGTCCGATTTATATGTTGGTTGATTTATTATAAATTTCAAATATAAAATGTTCAGGAAATTTTCCAAGTTTCTCAAAATGTTAAGAACCAGTGGAATTGTGGCTTGAGAAAGAAGAAAAAGAAATGACACAGGCAAGAAATAAATGTTACTTGCAAAAGTAACAGAATACTAGTTATGACAATGCCATAAATAAAAAGTGGTTTTTTTTTTTTTTTTTTTTTTTTAAAGAGCACAATGCAGAGACACTTCCGGTAAGATGGAAGGATAGGCACAAAGTTGACACAGACCCTCTCCAAAACAGAAATGAAAAAATAATAGACAGAAATACAGAAGATAATCCTGGAGTCCTGAGCTTTGAAAGAACTATACAGAAGTGGATTAGACACCAACTAGTGGAAAAACCTGAACCAAAACACTGAGTACAGAGACAGTCAGAGCTGTGGGCTGTCAGCTACACTGATGGGACCAACAGCCTAAATATTTCTAAGTGGTGTTGGAACCTGACAATCGACCTAAAGATCAGCCCTGGACACCAAGGGATACAGGGGTGACTGTACTGGTGGACTATGACTAGGAAGGGAAACAGCATGGAGGGACACAATGTGAGCTGTTGACTGTCTGCTGTTTGGAGCGCGCAGCCAGTTTGATTGTTTACACGTGTTAGCCATTTCGGATATTTAAAGTGACCAAGAGTGCAGCTATTTCCAATGTTTACAAGTGGCAGCCATTTTGGATATTTAAAGTGACTGAGAATGCACCCATTTTGAAGGTTTACAAGCATTGGCCTTCTTGGGTATTTCAAGAGACCGAGGGTGCAGCCAATTTCAATCTTTACAAGTGGTGGCCATTTTGGAATTTAAAGTGACTGCATTCACATTTGGAATCCAGAGACCTAAGAATAGCCTCTGTTTGTCAAGGTTAGCAGGGAAATGAGGGGCTGGCAATAGGAAAGGAGACAGGTGGTGAGTGTATTAAGTGCTGTCAACTAGTGAATAGAGGAGCCCAGGACAGTACCCTGCTTACGCAGATAAACACACAAATAAAACGAAAATCATGAGCAAGTCGCTCCAACATACAATCACCAATTAAAAATAAACACAAAAACATCAGAATGCCTCAGACACAACAGAGCATCACAGTGCACACAAAGAGGCTAGATAAAGGAGGAGAAACAAGGGGCCAGGATACACACCAAAACTACAGCCACGAGGAACACACAGCATTGCAACTCTCTGATACAGGATTCAAAAGAATTATATCTAGGTATCTTAAATGAATTGAGAGACAGATCAAGGAAAACACAGAGAAAACCCTAAAATAATTTCAACAGACAATACAGGAACAAAATGGTAAATTAAATGAAAAATGAGAAATGATACAAAATCTACATAGAAATCCAGAAGATTAATGTGAAAATTTCAGAAATAGTTAAGACATTGACTGGGCAAAGGAGCAGAACTGAATCAATGCAAGAAAGAATTAGGCAGATTGAAAGCAAATACCTCAATACTGCTTTGGAAAGGGATGAATAAGAAAAAAGATCAAAATAAAATGAAGAAAGCCTTAGGTTCATGTGGCATACCATCAAAAGGAATAATCTATGTGTCACTGGAATTCCAAAACAGGAAAAGACAAATAAAACCACAGAGAATACTGTTGAAGATTTGTTGCAAGAGAATTTTCCCGGTATGAAGAAAGATGAGAATATATCCATTCAGCAAGTCCAACAAACCCCAAACAGGATAGACCCCAAAAGAAAATCACCCAGACATAACATCATCAAACTTATGAAACCCAATGACAAAGAGAGAATCCTGAAAGCCGTATGGGAAAAATGAAAAGTTACCTACAAGCGGCAACCAATAAGACTAAGCTCATATTTCTTGACAGAAGCCATGCAGGCAAGAAGACAATGGACAGTATATATAAAACACTGAAAGAGAAAAATTTCCAACCAAGAATTATGTACTCGGCAAACCTGTCGTGCAAATACCATGGTAAAATTAGGACATTTCCAGATAAGCAGAAATTAAGGGAATTTGTTCAAACCAGACCAACCTTGCAATCTAGTTCCATAGTGATACTGCCTCAGAAACCTAAAGAGGGGTTGCTATGAATCGGACCGATTCGACAACACATAACAACAACCACCCAGTATTTTATTATAACTTCACATAATAAAAAGTGTAATTAATATTTACACAAATTTCTACATAAATTCAAAATCAATGGCTTCTGAGTCCATTCTGATTCATAGAGACCCAATAGGACAGAGTAGTACTGTCCCATAGGGTTTCCAAGAGTGTAAATCTTCACAGAAGCAGACTGCCTCATCGTTTTCTCTCACAGTGGCTGTTGTATTCAAACTGTCAATAAAGAAAGAAAAGAAGGGAGGGATGGAGGGAGGGAGGGAACAAGGAAGAAAGAAAACCAGACCAACCTTACAAGAGATGCTAAAGATGCTAAAGGGAGTCCTTTGGATAGAGAACTAACAATAGCCAAAAACAACTTAATATTAACACACATGATGATATAACCCAAGAAACAATCCAAAGTAAATGAGCCTGTAAAATTGTAAACAGGAATCCACAGACATCAATAGACAGATGAGGACAACTACCAACCAAAAAGAGAGGACAAACTGTGTCATTACAGAATTTCTAGAAGGTGGGGAAGTCTAGACAACTAAAAGATATAACTGACTGTTCTACTTACATATCTGGCAAGAGACTCATCTCTAAGATTTATAGTAGAAGAGTAGATGACCAAACTGGAGTAGATACACATAATGGAATCTATGCAGCACTACAGAGTAATGCACAATCTGCAAAACACTGCATAATATGGATGAACATGAAGGACATTATGCTGAGTGAAGTAAGTCAATCACAGAAGAACAAATATGGTATTAGTTCGTTGTTGTGGAGGTTCAAGGAAAGGTTTACATATGCAGGGAAACCTTTGTTGGTTGCCATCAGTGGGATGGGAGAGGCGGGAATACTGAAAAAAAAAAAATGCATTGACCCATGTCACTTCAGTTTTGTATATTTCACTATACATAAATTATGTATCAATAAAATTCATTTTTTAAAAAAAGAATGATAATTTTATGGAAGGTTTGGGGAGTGAGACAGAAAAATATGGCCAAGTGTTGTTGGCAGGTGAAAATTTGTAGGTGAGCATCACTTAACAAACAAACAAACAAAAAGACATCAAAAGAAGTATTGCATTGGGCACATCTGTTACAAGAGACCTCTCTCAAGTGCTGAAGAGCAAAGATATCTCCTTGAATAATACTATGATGCCCCTACAAAGCGATGGGATTCTCAACGGTGAGTATATTCAACTGCATCCGAAGTAACATCATTAAAAGTGTGAAAGTACAACACGTTTCCTAAAGGTTATTCCTGCAACTTTATTTGTAATAGACAAAGACTTACAAAAAAGATAAAGGTTGGATTGAAAATGGAAGAAATACTGATAAGGAAAGTCCCACAGTTATAGTAAAACAATCATTTCTTGCAAAGCCACAAAGTAGTTCTAATCATCCAGTCTTTGTTGTTGTTGTTGTTAAGTGCCATCGAGTCGTTTCCGACTCATAGCGACCCCACGCACAGCAGAACGAAACACTGCCCTCTCCCATGCCAGCCCAACAATCCCTGCTATACTTGAGCTCATCATTGCATCCACCGTATCTATCCAATCAGTCTTTGAGTTGGTATTATTTTCTTACTCACTGAAAACCTTCTTCTTTAAGGGCAGATTTACAGCAACTTCCTGTTTTCAATTATAACAGGATGGTGAAAACATCCCAATCTTGACACCTAAGTCTCTCCAATATGAGTTATTGAGAAGTGACATGTAAGGAACAACTACAGGCTTTCCCACATTCTTACAATGTATAAGGCTTCTCTCCACTGTGACTTCTCTTTGGTGAGGGGTGAGAAATCACTGAAGGCTTCCCACATTGCTCACATTCAAACTGCCTCTATCCCTTGTGAGTTTTCATATGTAAAGTGGGGTTTGAATTTGGACAAAAGGCTTTCCCATATCCCTTGCCTTCCTGAGGCTTCCCTCAACTGTGAAATTTTTGTGTTCTGAGACAATAGGAATGACTAAAGGTTTTCCCACAGTTTACATTGCTAACACCTTTCTCCATGCTAATTTCTGCATGTTGACGTAGCTGTGATCAATGCCTAAAGGCTTTTGCCTATTCCTCACATTTGTAAGTCCTCTCTGCACAGTGACTTAAGTAATAAGTGAAGTAGGAGTAATTTTTAAAGGTATTCCAACATTCCTTAAATTTATAGGGACTCTTTCCACTGTGAATTCTTCCATGTTCAGAAAGTTATGACGGCTGACGAAATGCTTACCCACGTTCCTTATATTTGTAGAGCCTCTGTTGACTGTGACTTCTTCTATGTCTAGAGAGGTTTGAGGACCAACCAAATGCTTTCCCACATTCTTTACATTCATATCGCTTCTCTCCTCTGTGAATGCTTCGATGTACAGAGAGGACTGAGGGCTGCCCAAATGTTTTCCCACATTCCTTACATTTGTAAGGTCTCTCTCCACTATGAATTCTTTTATGTGCAGAAAGGTGTGACAGCCGATTAAATGCTTTCCCACATTCCTCACATTTATAGGGCCTGTCTCCACTGTGAATACTTTTATGTTCAGAGAGGTATGACAGTTGACTGAATGCTTTCCCACATTCCTTACATTCATAGGGCCTCTCTCCACTGTGAATTCTTTTATGTCTAGAGAGGTATGAGAGCCGATTAAAGGCTTTTCCACATTCCTTACATACATAGGGCCTCTCTCCACTGTGAATTCTTTCATGACTAGAGAAGTATGACAGGTGACTAAATGTTGTAGTACATTCCTTACATTCATAGGGCTTCTCTCCACTGTGAATTCTTTTATGTAAAGAGAGGAAAGAGGAACATCTAAATACCTTCCCACATTCCTTACATTCATAGGGGCTCCCTGCACTGTGAATTCTTTTATGTCTACAGAAGTTTGAGGAAAAACTAAATGCCTTCCCACATTCCTTACATTCATAGGGCTTCTCTCCACTGTGAATTCTTTGATGTACAGAGAGGACTGAGGGCTGACCAAATGCTTTCCCACATTCCTTACATTTATAGGGCCTTTCTCCACTGTGAACGCCTTTATGTGCAGACAAGTGTGATAGTGGACTGAATGCTTTCCCCCATTCCTTACATTTATAGGGCCTCTCTGCTCTGTGAATTCTTTTATGGTTAGAAAGGTATTGTAGCTGACTAAATGCTTTCCCCCATTCCTTACATTCATAGGGTCTCTCTCCATGTTGAATTCTTTTATGTTTAGAGAGGTATGAGAGCTGACTAAAGGCTTTCCCACATTCCTTACATTCATAGGGCCTCTCTCCGGTGTGAATCCTTTTATGCCTAGAGAGGTATGACAGATGACTAAATGCTTTAGTACATTCTTTACATTCATAGGGCTTCTCTCCACTGTGAATTCTTTTATGTCTACAGAAGTTTGAGGAACAACTAAATGCCTTCCCACATTCCTTACATTTATAGGGCCTCTCTCCAGTGTGAATTCTTTTATGTCTGGAGAGGTGTGAAAGGTTATGAAATGCTTTCCCACATTCCTTACATTCATAAGGCCTCTCTCCTGTGTGAATTCTTTTATGACTAGAGAGATATGACAGCTGACTAAATGATTTAGTACATTCGTTACATTCATAGGGCTTCTCTCCACTGTGAATTCTTTTATGTCTATAGAAGTTTGAGGAACAACCAAATGTCTTCCCACATTCCTTACATTTATAGGGCCTCTCTCCAGTGTGAATTCTTTTATGTCTGGAGAGGTATGAAAATTCATTAAATGCTTTCCCACATTCCTTACATTCATAGGGCATCTCTCCAGTGTGAATTCTTTTATGTTTGGAGAGGTTTGAAAACTCATTAAATGCTTTCCCACATTCCTTACATTCATAGGGCCTCTCTCTGCTGTGAATTCTTGTATGCCTGGAGAGGTGTGAGAGCTGATTAAATGCTTTCCCACATTCCTTACATTCATAGGGCCTCTCTCCACTGTGATTTTTTTTATGTCTAGAGAGGTTTGAAAGGTTACCAAATGACTTCCCACATTCCTTACATTCATAACCCCTCTCTGTCTTGTGAAATGTTGGATGAAACATCTGGGATGATGGATGACTAATGATTTTGCAACAGGCTTCACACTCATGAGAATGACCTTTCACATGTGTACAAAAGGACAATGAACTACAGACATACTTCCCACATTTCTTACGTTCAAAGAGCTTCTCACCACTGGATACTGTCACAGGAACCGTAAGGGTTGACATGCAAATGTCTTTTCTGCATACATTAAACTTGCAGGGCTTCTCATCCTTAAAAGTTTTCACAGAAGTGGTCTGGTGACAGGGACAACTGCAAGATGCGCCACCTTCCGTACAGTGACAGGTATTCCCTGTTGAGTGTGATCTGGTGTGACGTTCAGGTGATGACGCATCCATGAAGGCCGTTCCCCACACACAGGATTGAAAATGATTGATTTCCGAAGGGTTCCTCTGTACCACAGCAACATTGCAAACATGGCTGTAGATTTTCCCACACTGACTGTCTTCATTAGTTTCATAGAGGATCTTCACATTATGACTTCTGTTAAAGACAGGAAACATGCTGTTGGAAACAAATTTGTTCTCATTTCAGCATCATTAAACACGATGAATATGCATGGATTTTTCCTGATTTATCTCTTCTTTCATTGGTCAATTTCTCTATCAGATATATTACTATTATGGTTACTATTTTTCTAGAATACTAGGCTTTCTGGTAATTGGATCAAAGGGAAGAATGTGTAAAATATTTCATATCTTACATTTATGAAAATGTTGCTTTGTGAACATTTTCTGAATCCTTAGTTTTTAGCTAGATTTACACATATAAACAAATGTGTCTATATATGCATGTGTGTGTCTGTACATGTAGATAAGTGTCTACAATGGAGGAAAAAGTCAAAGCTGCACTGAAGGAATTGGGGAAAATCAAGGCTCTAGGAACTGATCACATATCAATTAAGACCTTTCTGCAAAGGGATGCCCCACTGGAGGCACTCTCTCATCTATGCCAAGAGATTTTCAAGATAGCTACCCGCCCCACTGACTGGAAGAGATCCATTTTGTATCCATTCCAAAGAAAGGTGATTCAACAGAATGCGGAGATTATCAAACAAAATCATTAATGTCACATCAAGTAAAATCTTGCTGAAGGTAATTCAAAAATGTTTGCAGTAGTATATTGACAGGGAACTTCCTGAAAGGAAAGCTGGATTCAGAAGGGGGCGCAGAGTGAGGAATATAATTGTTGATGTCTTATGGGTCTTGGCTCACAGCAAAGAACACCAGAAAGATTTTACTACTGTTTTATTAACTACACAAAGGCATTCAACTGTGTGGATCATAAGAAATTATGGATAACATTGAGAAGAATGGCAATTCCAGAACACTTGATTGTACACATGAGGAACCTGTACAGAACAAGGAGACACTGCACGGTTTAAAATCAGGAAAGAGTGAGTCAGGGTTGAATCCTTTTCTCCTATTGATTCAATTTGTATGCAAAGCAAATAATCTGAGAACGTGGACTATACGAAGAAGAATGTGGTGTCAGGATTGGAGGAAGACTCATTAACAACCTACCATATGCAGATGACACAACTTTGCCTACTGAAAGTAAACATGACTTGAAGCATTTACTGATAAAGATTTAATACTTCAGTCTGCAGTATGGATTACATCTCAACATTTAAAAAAAAAAAAAAAGTCCTAACAACGGGACCAAGAAGCAGCATCATGATACACTGATAAAACATTGAAACTGTGGTGCATATTACTTGGGTCCACAATTAAAACCCATGAGAGCGGGGCTCAAGAAAACAGATGATGTATTGCCCTGAGTCAATCTGCTATACAAGACTGCTTTAAACTGGTGAAGGGCAAAGACGTCTCTTGATGAACAAGGTGCCCCAAACCCAATCCACAGTATTTTCAATTATGTCATATGTATGTGAAAGCTAGACAGGGAGTAAGGAAGATCAAAGAAGCATTCATGCTTTTCAGTTGTTGCACTGATGAAGAATACTCAAAGTACTGCAGACTGCCAGAAGAACAAACAAAGCTGTCTGGCCAGGCCCATCCTCACAATCCTTCCTACACTTGAGGCCACAGTTGCTGCCGAGGTGTCAATCCATCTTCTGGAGGGTATTCCCATCTTTTGCTGACCCTCCAGATTACCAAGCATGATACACTTCTCCAGGAAATGGTCCTTTCTGAAAACGTGACCTAAGTAGGTGAGATGACATCTGGGAACTGTCGATTCCAAGGAGTATTGTATTTGCACGTTGTTTCTGAACCTCATGACTTTTTTCAGCATTGTCCACTAACACTATAATTGAAAAGCATCAACTCTTCAATGTACAGCTTTCATATGCATAGAAGGCAATTAAAAACACCATGGTTTGGGTTAGGTGTACCTTAGTCTTCAAGGTGACATGTTTGCGATTCCACACTCAAAGAGCTCTTCTACATCACATTCAGCCAGTGCAACACATCATGGGATTTCTTACTGCTGCTTCCATGCAGTTGACTGTGGAACCAACATGAAATATTTGACAGCTTCAATGCTTTGTCCATTTATCATAATGCTACTTATTCCTACAGTTCTGAAGATTTTCGTTTTATGTTGAGGTGTAATCCATACGGCACACAGAAGTCCTTCATCTTCATCAGTAAGTGCATCAAATGATCTTCATGTTCTGCAAGGAAGGTTGTATGTAATGAGTCTTCCTCCAATCCTGATGTTAGGTTTTACTTCACACAGTTCAGCTTTTCGCATGATTCGCTCAATACACAGATTGAATGCATATGTTCAAAGGGTACAACCATGATACAGACTCTTCCTGATTGCAAACCATGCAGTATCCCATGGTTATGATTGAATGGCTGGCCCCTGGTCTATGTAGACGTTCCTCATGAGCACAATTAAGTGTTCAGGAATTCCCATTCTTCTCAATGTTACCTATACGTTTTTAGGATCTACACAGTCAAATACTTTAGCGTAATGAATTAAAAAAAAAAAAAAAACAGAAAAAAATCTTTCTGGTATTCTTTGATTTTAGCCAACATCCATCTGATATCAGCAATGGCATCTGTCATTTCACACCCTCTTCTGAATCCAGCTTGCATTTCTGCATGTTCCCCATCGACGCTGCTATAACTGTTTCTGAATTATGTACAGGCAAATTTTACATGTGTGTGATAGTAATGATACTGGATGATAATTTCCAAAATCTCTTGGCTCGCCTTTCTCTGGAATGGATACAAATATGGACTGTTTCGAGTTGGTTGGCCAGGTAGCTTTTTTTCCAAATTACTTGCCATATATGGATAAATAGGAGCTCTGGTAGCATCGTGCCTAAGGCACTTGACTGTTAACCAGAAGGCAGTCGGTTCAAACCCAGCAGCCACTCCTCAGAAGGAATGTTGGGCAATCCTACTTCTGTAGTGATACCATTTCAGAAATCCGAAGACGGGTTTCTATGAGTCGGAACCATCTGGACAGCAGATAACAACAACAACAACATATACGAATAAATACCTCCAGAGCATAATCTCCCTATTGAAACATTCCAAAGGGTCCATCCATACTTGTAGCCTTGTTTTTCTCCAAATATTTCACTCAGATTTGATTTGTTGTTTTGAGTATCAGTGCTTCTTGATAATATGCCACCTCCTGATATATGATGGTTCACCACTGAACAAAACAGGGACTTTGTATATTCCTTCCACATTCTTTTGATGCTTCCTTCCTTATTCAATATTTTGCCCATAGAAACCTTGAACACTGCAACTCCAGACTTGAATTATGTCATCAGTTCTTTAAGCTTGAGAAATGCCAAGCCGGTCTTTGTGCATTTCATTACATTAAGTGACTCTGTTTCTTGAGCTGCTCTTTGAAACATTCTCTTCAGGACTGTTATCTTGACATTTCATTCATTTGTTGAAGCCACTCTCTGTTCATGGGCAATTTTCAGAGTCTCATGACATCCACTCTGTACTTTCTTGCCTTTTAAATTACTTTTTGCTTTCTTTGTGACTGATGTTCTTGATGTCTTCCAATAAGTCAACTGGTTTTCAGTCATTCATGTTCAATGTGTCAAATCGCTTCTTCAGTTATTCTCTAAATTTAAATGGGATATAATCAGGATCATATTTGGGTTCTTGTGGTCTTGTTTGAATGTTCTTCAGCTTCAAGGTAACTTGCTTATGAGTCATTGATGTCCCGTTCTGCCTGAAGATATTGAGCTTCTCCATCACCTCTGTCTACACAGGGAGTCAATCGGATTCCTGTGTATGCCTTATGGTGACGTCCACGTGAATAGCCAAAGTTTATGTTGTTGAAAACAGGTGTAAGTAATGAAGAACTTGTTGGTCTAGAAAATTCTATCATGTAATCTGTGGCATCATATTTTCAATAACTGATGATTCTTCTTTGTTTCCAACTTTTATATTCCAAGCTGTCAGTTCATTGTACTTTGATGGTTTGCTTGTTGCTCTGAGGTTGGAGGCAATGCTACTGGTATTTCAGATACCAGCATGGTCACACATCATGAACAGGTTTCAGTGGAATTGCTAGACTAAGACAGACTGGGAAGAAGCAAGGGACCACCTTCCTTCTTTTATTACAGATGTAATAATCAATGCATCTTGATTTTATGTTACTAAATATGTTTTATAATGGAGAAGTTGGTAAAAATCTTGTATTTTTTCAACGTCGGATTTAGTTGTTGGTGTGTAAATTAATTTGAATAGTAGTAGTATTCACTGGTCTTTCTGTAGGCATATGCATATTATCCTATCAATCACAGCACTATACTTTAGGATGGATCTTGAAACATTCTTTGTGACAATGAATGTCACACCATTCCTGTTCAATTTTACACTCCCAGTATAGTACATCATATAGTTGTCTGGCTTAAAATGGTTAAGTACCAGGCCATTTCGGCTCACTAATACCCAGGATATGGGTTCTTATGCATTGCATTTAATTTTTGACTTCAATTTTCCTACATTCACACTTTGTACATCTCATGCTCTGATGATTAATGGATGTGTCC